TTGATCCCGTAACCGATCCCCAGGACGAGATCGGAACGAGATGTCTGACGGCATAAAGATTTTTATGCTAAAGATTTTTTCAATTATTTTACTATCTTAGATCATTACTTGACAAATATATYTAAGAAGGTGGTGTGAAATTTTCAAGTCGCTGGCTTCAGTCATTTCGGAATGTTCCCTATCTACTCTTTCGGGAAATACGCGTTTCAAGTTTTAAAAATCGATTACAATAAGTTGATAAAGTCTTACAAATCATCACATATCTCTGAAACTATTGTAATTGCCGGATCAACTTCAAAGTTTCTTAGCGGAAAGCCGATGAAGTTTTTACTGGTCTTAATTATCAAAGCACCCTTAATACTTAAAGCCATATTGTCTCTACATTAAGACTTAAAACATATTTTTTATATGGGTTATAGGTCGGTAAATGTAAAAATAGCTTTTTATTATGTAGAGAAAAATACATTGAGTTTTATAGGAAACAATAATGAWCAGTTGGGTTCAGTAGGCTTTAGTGCTCGCTCACATATCATAAAACGTAAAAAAAAAAACTTATATAACCGATATAATATAATATTTTAGTAACACTATATAATAAATTGAGGTTCTTCGTCGGACACAGAGTCACAATAAAAAGAGATTTCCGCAAAGAAAATATATCAACTTTACTTCTAATTTGTTTGAWTACATTACAAATTACTTGTTTGAGGGTTTTTGAAAGAAACCGGACAAAGCCATATGAACTGATTTCTGGGTAGAATATTCATTCTGTTTGCGTTGATAAGATTACGAGTTTTTTTTTTTTTAAATCAGTATTGCACGATTTTACTCATTAGAGGATTATGTCAATAGTACTCTAAGAGATTACTCTCAATATATTTTGCTGGGGTTCTGGGTAAAACCCCAAATAAATTATTGCTTTACCTCCTAAAAGTGTGCAACATTAATTTATTTATCCTTTTACCTAGATAGTTTCTTTTGATAATTGGTCTACTTTCAAGCAACAGTTAGTATGAAAAAATTAAAAAAATTATTTTATCAAAATTCTCACTGCGGTCATTACAGACAGCATGCAAGATATCCTAAGAAATATTACGTTTTCCGCTTAAATCTATGCTACAAAACATTTAGCTTTGAAACAACAAGGATTTCAGACTTAAACATTTTCTTTTCTTTATTTTATTTTTCAAAAATTTCTAGACTTAGCTTTGAATTTCCATGCTAAAAGAACATTAGCACCGTTTATGTGGCCTCTTACTGAGTTCTATTACTACGTATACTCCCCGGTTTGTCTTGCGAATAAGTAAGCTCTCTTAGAAGATATTCAATTTATATGTACTTATGGATTAACTCGACTTCAGCTGAGTTGCATAGTCGCTGGTATGCCTTACGAGTGAGTAATCGCTATTGATAATAAAAAAGAAAAGCGTGTTAACAAACTCAGCTCCAGTGTATGCCTAATTGATCATTACATTTATTTTTCATACGGGGAATTCTTAACATCTTAGTAAATATATTTGAACCGGGGGRAAAAAATACATTTTTCAGCAGAAGCAATTAGTTCTCAACCATTAAGGTAGTTTATAGTGAAATGCACGTGTTATCTGTAGTTATTTATTTCAATAATATGGCTTTTTGTTATTCACGGTCATTACCACTTTCAAGTAAATTTTAATATTTCTATCGCCTAATTGTCAAAGCTTTTAAGCACCAATAATTATCTTCATTTTCTTTAGTTTTTGTGCCAATTTTTGCATACATATGTACTTATGAATTTATGTGTGCAGTGGATAATAATATTTTTGCCATTTTATATAGCAACCAATGAGCATTTAATGTCACGCGGTAAATGCTGATTACATCATTTCGAATAGCCGAWTAGCATGAAAATGATTTTGTTCATCTGCGAAGTTCAAGGTGAAAATTTCGTGTGCTTATGTATTTATTTTCAACCAAATATGGTCGCTTTAATATTCTGACGTAAATGAAAATTATGTAAAAGTTTTGAGAATTTTTCGATTTTCATTATTTGCGTGCAATGCAGAGGGGTTTCAAAAGTTTTTTTTTTTTGTCATCTCTTGACGTAAGAGGGATTATAGTGTTGAATCAGAGATTATATTAATTTTAGTTTTCAAGTAACTGGTTTAACATAATGCCCAACGCCCCTCTTATGGTATAACAGTCTGTTTCTAACTTAGCGCAGCCCGTTGAGAWCATTATTTCGTTTGGATCAGTTAAYTAATAACATACTTGTGCCGAACACAGACCCGAGTAACCTTTGATGAAACTATTTCCTTTTTTTCAATAAGAAGAAGWATATGCAAATACTGTCCTAAAGCAATTGGTATTAGTACAGAAAAAATTATAAGGGATCAACGGAAAGCGTGTACAACATCTGATCTAATTTGACGCGGATGTGCGCAGAACGTATTGATAGGTATAATCTGTTTCCAATTTGTGTTTCCAATGCGATTCTTCTTTATAGATATTGGATTGCTTRGCTGATATTGTTATTAGTGTTAATGCTGCTTCCAAGATAGACGAAATTATCTACGACTCCGAAGTAATGATTGTCAACAGTCACATGGGAGCCAAGTCGCGAGTTTGCTTCCTTATCCTATCTGGAGAAAGAAGAACTAACCAAAAGGCTATAATATCAATATCAACGGCGTACACCAGTAGCTGTACACTCTTATAGATGATTTTTATCACCTCTATTCCAGCCTGGTTACTACTACAAAAACATTAAAAATATTGCAGAAGATTTTGAGAAGTCTATCTTATAACGAACAAAAGTATATGAGGGACATAAAGCATTCAATGAAGATCATGAAGCTATTGATAACTTGCTCCATTCCTTTCTTCTGTCCACCTTGATTAATAACAATCACTATGGAAAAGTTAAATAAATAATGCCTGGAAATCATCGTGTTGGCATCAGAGAGATATCAARGGATCTCAGCAGCTCCYATGGATTGACTCGACACATTCTGGTAAATGTTTTGGGTATGAAGCGTGTCAATRATAGATCCGTACCAAAACAAGTGAAGCTTTTACAAAAACGATATCGAGTAGAGATCGGAAGGAGATGGCTGACAGCTTGGAATTCTACATTGGTAACGAAATGTGGGTTTATGACTGTGACGTCGAAGCTGTTCAATTACATAGGAAACAAAGCTCGAAAAATGAGGCAAAGTCAAAAGAAGCCAAGTTGGTCAAAATTCAAGTTTGAATTCAAATTCATTATTTCTTTGATTACCAAGGTTTGCTTCACCATGAATTCGTTCTACAGCACAAAACGGTCAATAAGGAATACTACTTGGATATCTTGAGAAACCTACATGACGAAATTCGACTAAATTGACCAGATTTGTGGGCAGAAAATCCACGGATTTTGCAGCACGAGAATGCGCTGTGACACTCAAACAAATTTATGGCTGTATTTTAGGTCTAACATGAAACACAAATCACCGCTCAAATACCATATTCGTCGCAGTGATTTTTTTTCAGTTTTTGAAACTGAAAAATSAGCCTAGGAGAATACGAATGAGCCCAAACGCCATGAATAATGACTTTTCTGAGGAGGTGACTGAGTGGGAATCCTAGCGCACTAAATTTCCTTAATATTTTATTCTAGTTCTAGTTTCAAAAGACGCTTCAAGACTTTCAGATCTAGATAAATTTTATGGACTTTTTCTCGTCTTTCGTGCTGCGTTAGAACCATCGACCAAATGCAAATATGTTACGTATAAATTTTYATTTATCAAGCGCTACGTATATCTCTACCTCAAATTAATATATATATTTATCGTTGGTCAAAACTTACCCCATGAGGCACGATCACGTCCCATTACGGTACCCTCCTCTGAGTTGTAGATAAATCGGCCCATTTTAAAGGGCTCCGCTTTACGCTCGTGAAAATCTATATCCATATTGGACATTTCCATGGGCTGTGGCTTAGACATTTTTAAAATGGGTTTTTACTTGACGCTGGTGGGTTTAAGTTTACAAATCACTTTCTGATATAGCGAGCTTGAAGCTCGTCTTTTGTGATGTCTAAGCTACTTTTCGCGTGCACAAACACAAAAACACTTTCACGGTGTAACACAATTTTGATACTCTTCAATACTGCATATACACTTAAGTATTTATATATATATATGTGTATATATATGCTCTTTACTACACAAGCGATCGTGTTATTTATAAAWCCAATGACTTATGCAAGTCTGCGTCTCCTATTTCAGTAAATGATAACATGAAATAAATAAGTTTTAGAGAGAATTATCACAAATATGCCATAGTATCATTTTAGTCGCCAATTTTCGTAATRTTTCCGCGATGGCTGTTGGTTCGACTGAAGGCTACACACGCTAGGAAGCTGAATAATAACGCTAATGTTCTTTAAGTGTCCGAGCGCGTTGCTTATAGATGTTGTAAATTCTAACAACAACACAGACACACCGTAAAATATTGTAGTGACATTTATTTTTAAAATTTTTGTAATACCACACACACACATATACATATGTAACTATATTTACATACATCTATACATATGTAAGTATATGGGYGGTGTCTGCCGAACTGGCCGCTAGTCGCACAGTCGTGKGTAMGCGCCGATACTACAGAACTGGCCTTCTGGCGCGATTTTCGGAATTATTATCGGCGGTCAACTGTTGTCGGCCGCCAGTATCGGGTCTAGAAATAATCCTCCTGTGAGAGAGTGAGTTTGACGTTCGCGTACAACTGCGTCAGCGTATCTGGCGTTTGAATATTTTTGGCCGTGAATTTGCTTAACGATTGCACTCTTGAGAAAGCAGCAATGTACATTGAACGTGTGCATTTTAAAAAATGTAAGAAAAAGTGGCGAACAGACGCGCTGCCGAAAATGCAATAAAACGAATGCGGTGCGCGGCGTGTGGTTGTAAATTGTGTAATGGTATAAATATTTATCGTTGCTAGTTTGGCAGCGATACTGCGTACCCAATGAAAAATTGGAAATGTTGTGAGGTTTTTATTTTTACAGAGAAAGTATTTTTATTTTTCTAGTATTTAGTATGTATATTGTTGAATAATTTTGATGTTTTTTGTTATTTTTTTTTTTATTAAATAAATAAAAAAATATATAGATATATACGTGTGTATGTACTACACTTTCAAACCTGTCTCTTATACACATCTAGATGTGTATAAGAGACAGTACGTAGGTTGCCTTTTATATTATATTTCGGCATTTGGCAACCCAATCCTTGCTATCAGGCAAATGGCAACTTTGTCGTAAAGCTTAATATTTCTTATGTTGTACCTACTCTGATCGGTTCGGCGTAAGACTACTCTGTGTTACTTACAATAACTTAAAATATTCAACCCGGCCAAGAAATGCAATTAAATCAACATACATACTTAAAACCTTTTCAAATTCGAGCACTATTTTTGATATGTACAGTTACTTAAAATATTCTTCTCCACCAAAAAAGTGGAATTAAATCGCGAACTTTCTTGGGCCGTAGTTTTTTGCAACTTTCGGCGTAGATTTACTCGGAAACAGTGCTGCTATGAAATTAATCTACTTTTGGCGATGAAGCTCTAACAATCTTTGTCGATTGTAAGAATTATGTAAATCAATGCCGTAGATCGATCTGAGACGATTTACATGAATGTCGTCCAAAATCAAGTCGGCTGTTTAGAAATTATTGGTGCTGTTCATGCGTCATGTCATGTAATCGTCTTGCGACTTATTATGAGATTGCGTCTCATATTGGCATAATGGAACTATCATACATATAATAGCGCATAAACATTTGATTCTAAAAAAAAAAAATTGTTCGCGTCGGACCTCACATAATTTGCTTCATATATACATTGGTCGAGAGAAATATAACGCCCTGACATATGATGAATAGCGGATTTAYGAATATGAGCCCGAAAGTAAACAGCAGTCGACTGTATTTTCTTCTTTATTAGGATGCCTTACGTTTACACTTACTGCAAGGGTATTTTAAAATGAGTCACATCAAACAAGAGTTCTTCGCACGCGAGTTCTTAGACGCCGGAGACAAAAAACTCTTCACCATGACAAAGCGACTAAAACAACTGAGTTTTTGAGCAATCAAAACATCGATTTGATGAGTCATCTACCTCATAGTCTTGATTTGGCACGGAATGACTCCTTTTTATTCCCGTTTAAGAAAAATAACTAAGAGGTCAACGTTTTTCAACACCAGAAGTGAGTTCAGAATACTTGTTTTGGAGATACCTCAATAAGAGGGAAACAATGTTTCGAGTATTGGTTCAAACGCAAGCAAAAGTGTACGATATAGATACGAATAGAGAATATTTTGAAAAATAATTAGGCAATTCACTATGATTAATATTTTGTTCCCTAATCCCGAAATATAAAAGGCAACCCTCGTGAGTATATATGCTTTCTTTTTCAGATAGAGGATTAAATATTTTTAAAATGTATTCTTTCTTTTTATACTCTTGCAAAATGTTGCTACAGGGTATAATAGCTTTTTCACAAAACGGTTGTACGTATCACCTGAAACTAAGCAAGATAGATATAGGGTTGTGTATATATAAATGATCAGTGACTTGAGTACAAATTGAGATATCTCGACAAAACTTGATACAAACAATAAAGTTCGAGTTCGTAGATGAGCGTAATCGGACCACTGCCATGCCSACAATTCGCCATTAACCGAAARCATATAAAGTGCCATAAGTAAGCAATAAATTAAGATATAAGGCTGTAATTTGGTACAGAGGAACGCAGTAGCAARGGTCACTTTTGGACAAACATTTTTGAAAAACAAGTTTTATGTACATTTCTCCTAAAAATTACTAAAACTAACCAAACACGCCTGARACATTAAATTTTACCTCCGAGATGGAATGAGAGAGCTTTATTGGCGCCGGAAATCTGACGAAAGGTGTGGCACCGCCCACTTTGTGGTGAAATCACATATATCGGGACCCACTTGACGATTTCGACTAAATTCAGTACGTAGTATTCTTATTTTGTTTCTATATCACAGTGTGAAAATGAGCGAAATCGGACTACAACCACGCCTACTTTCCATATAGCACAATTTTAAATTTCACTTGTATCTTTCACTATCGAGTCCACAAATGAGGAAGCAGTTAATATAACGTGRTAAAACTTTGCACGAATAATGCCTTTAGTATGTGCCATCTTAAGGCTAAATATTGTTTAAATTCAATAAAAACTGTTCGAGCCCCTAGGTACGGAATATATGGACCCCAGTACTTAAAGTTGACTTTTGAGCGAAAAACTCGGCTTATGCGTGATATATATAATTGAAATTACGGGATGATCCTTGTCTTATAATGGTATATCTGTGTTTCCAAAATGAATTGAATCGGACCAATGCTTCCCTTAGCCCCCATATACTTAGTACAAAGATTTTCGAACTTCGGGGTGACTTTATACCGCATATATCGGCCAATATGTGAGTTATTTCAACGAAAATGAGCGTAACAGTGAAGTAATTTCCTGGCTTTGATTCTTGTTGCGAGAGTATAAAATGTTTGAATATTATTATTGTATTATATTTTTATTTATTTAAATCAATTTTGATATATAGTCAAATAAAAATATCATGATTAATTAAGATCTAAGTAAGATAAAAGCGTTTTGTAGTTATTATATTTTTTTATTTTTCATAAATTTTATTTTTATTCTTTATTGCGTTTTTAGCTTTAATAATTAAATTGTTTTATTTATGAATAAAATTAATTTTAGTTTTTATTGTGCCGTTTTAAGTATTCTTAAAATCTGTGTATAATGGTTTGTTATTTCTAATGTTTTCAAGTTGATCTTTTAACTCCACGCCTGTTGTTATTTCTGCTTATTGATTATCATTTTTTTTTTTTCAAAATTTGTTTGTGGGCATTCGTATAATTTTGCAGTGTTTCTTTTTTGTTTTATTTTTAATGAAATTCTTTACTATCCATGCGAATTGCCAAATATTATCACGTCTAACGGGCGTTATCACAAAATGTGCTCAGTCAAAATTAGTCATGCTCTTTGTAGACGAATATCAAGTCTTAAACTCTGGCTTGCGAGCAAACTTACACTTTTGTCTCAAGCCTAGGCTAGCGAAGTTTACAAGTAAATGGCTTGAAGACAGACAGAAGAGAGCGCGCTCGAAATGATACAACCACACCTTTTTTCTTTGAAGTTTTAAAGTCACGTTCGAACGAACAAACGAGGTTTTGGGTGTGTGTAAGAGAGCTGCCACTGCTAGTTGGCTAGCATTTTTTAAGCTAAATCACTGAGCACAATAAAATGTAGAAATTGCTTGGAACGCGTGCAAAATGCAGCTGTTTTCTTAGATAATAATTAAAGCRTTTCACAACAAACTTTTTACTAAACACTTTGTACTATTTTATATATTTTCCAGMATTTCTCATGTATATATTTGTATATATTTTGAAATTATGAATCAACACACTACCGTTTCGACATCAACTCAACTCACTAAGCCAACTCTCCCGTAAGGTAAAAGACACACTGAAAAACGTGTCGTCGTATACAACTCGTTAAGGCGGCAAAGCAGTCGAACAAGCAGCTGCTCAGCGCTGGTTTTTTTGTTTGCTTGCTCGTTATTTGTATTATTTAGCTATTGAATGATGACGAATGAAGAAATAAAATACGCTTAGAGTGTAGCTTGCGTGCGCGTCTCAAAACATAAATGTGCTCAAGTGGACTGAAACTTGTCTATACTATTGACTGTACGCGGACCGCGTAGTATGTGCCCAGCTAGTGGCATAAACAAGACTCAGACCACGTTAAAAAGCAACCAAACAACCGGTCAACCCAGCCAACAAGCCTAGCCAGGCAACCAACGAACCCAACAACCAGCCAACGAAGCGATCAACAAAACTCAAAACTCGCTCAAACGGCTTGAGCGCGCTTTTGAGTGTTCGAGCGTAAATGACGTAYGAAAAATCCRGGATACCCACCCTGCCAATGTGTGCGCTGTTGGCGCTAAAAGTGCGCTCAGGGTGAGAGCGCGGTTTGGAATTTGTTTTGGTTTGCTTTGCAGTGGCAATAACTTTAAATTACCATACAAAATACCCTGAACAGGGTATACGAGTATTAAGTTTGCCATGAAGTTTGTGACAGACCGATGGAATGGTAGGAAATTATATAAAACATATGTATATCTAATACTTTGGACAAAAAATAGTAAGACTTTTTAATTTGTACTCGATTTGGCTCCTRTAGCTACGTCAAATAGTCCATCAATTTTTGGGATATTGCTCTGAAATTTTGCTCAGGTACTTCTCTTTCCAAGAAACTGCTGATTTGTTGGAACTGTTGATATCGAACCACTAAAGCATACAACTGTCATACAAACTGAACGATTAGAATTAAGTTCTTATACGGAAAACTTTTTTATTAGTAATTTTTTGTAGTAGCGTTACATTCTCTGATGAAATCTTTTGGAACAGACCACTATGTCATATAGCTGTCATACAAATCAAATTCAAGCCTCCGTATGAAAAACTTTTTTATTTCAGGAGATATGTTCACGAAAATATTATTGCCTAAAATAGCGCTTTAATTTCAGAAAAAATCTTTTAGATTGGACTACTGTATTATATAGTTGCCATACAAACTGAATGATTAAAATTAAGTTCTTACATAGAAAACTTTTTTATTTGGTATGATATGTTCACGGAATTTCGTAGAGATGAATTTTTAAGACAACGCTATAATACATTTTGAAAACTTCTAGATTGAAACACTATATCATATAGCTGTTATACAAACTGCGCAATCAATTTCAAGTCCTCGTATGGAGAATTTTTTTTTTGTTTTAAGACATATGCTCACAGAATGAAGTATATAAAATTGTTTAAGACAGCGCTATAATCTCTGAAAACAATTTTCAGATGAAACTTTTATAGCATATAGCTGTCGAACAAACTGAATGATTAAAAATAAGTTTTTTATATGGAACACTTTTGTATTAAAGAAGTTATGCTCACGAAATTTAGTWTATATTATTGMMTAAGGCRGTGCTATAATCTTCGAAAGAAAATTTCAGATCGGATTACTATAGCATATAGCTGCCATATAAACTGCTCGCTCCATATTAAGTTCTTGTAAGGAAATCTTGAACCTGTCAAGGGTATTATAAGGGCACTGCCGTAATATCGAAGTCAAATTTTTTCTTATTTTTGCAATAAAATTTTTCGTAATATTTCTCTAATGTGCTTTGTGGTGCCGCAAAGCTGAGCTATGTTATGCTCTGTGTACATTGGTAGTACACAAATATTTCATGGCGGTGAGGAGCAAATGAAGCACGGCCATTTATATATACTATATATGTATATATATATATATATATACACGCAAGTATTCATCAAGAAGTTGAGTTACAAAATGTTACGTATACATATGTACGTATGTCACATTGTATGTGTGAGGCGTTACATCTTCATTTCGCATTCAAGTAAAAATCAGGGCAACAACAAAAAGCATACAAATAAATATTGTACCATAACATGCAGCTACTCAAAGAAGTAGAACACCCTTCACATGCATATACATACATACATACACACACGTACGCTTGTTTGTAAGCACATGACCGGGTCACTTTTGCCAGCCTGCCCGCCTGTCTGTCTATCAACCACCCACTCACCCTTGTTTAGCTCGCGCTGCTCAAAAGTTTTGTATTGTTGCCTCAATTCAGTGCAACATTTTAGTGCTTGACTCCACTTGCCGTCTTCGTGCTCCTACACACACATACTTACATATATATGTACATACATTTATGTGTGCCTTATATTTGTATATACGCTTAGCATGAGTTTTGTTCCAGTCAGCATCGCATTGACCCCAATATGACGATGAACATGTCAGCGAAGATACAAGAGCTCACAACAACAGAGAACCAACCACAGATATACCTATATACATGCCTACACTCGTCATATATACATATTTTTATACATATACACATTTATAAATATACATATCTACATGTATATGTATTCATTTACGCATACTTATGTTCTGTGCCAAAATAACTCTACTACAACAGCAAAAAAGCCATAAAGCAAAATAAAGTGTCATCGACAGCAACAATTGCCTTGTTGTTGTTTGTTGCATTCGACGTGCGTGGAGCGTATCGTCGGCGCCACTGCAGACGAAGAAGTTGTGATGCAATCATTCGCACATTTACTCTACGAAGTCATTCACTTATATACAAATATATACATGCATACAATGATTTATAGCATTGACTTAAATTTTTAATGCTAATTACATATAGATGTATGATTACTAGGGTGAGTTGCTTTAGTTTCCAAAGTCAGAAAAAAATCGTTTTTTTAGCTTTCTTTCAAAGCCGTGAGCAGGGTATATGCAGTTTRTCGCGAATTTTATAACATCCAGAAGGA